AAACACGACAGGATTGCAAAGACCAAGAAAGGTAAACAAATCACCTTAACACGTACAAATACAACACTAAACGATCCCCATCCGACCAGACAAAGCCCACCGAGGTATTAACTTGTTCAAAAGTGACCTGGCCACAAATGATAGCTCAACAAAGTGGCCCATCATTTGGACATTTATAGCAGCCAGCTCCAGTCCATTTGTAGTAAACGTTGCAAGAAGCCAAGGGCAGTTGAGGCCTCCACAGCAAGTGGCATCAGTGGTATAACACATTCCTGCGGAGGGAGCTGGTAGGAACGTTGGGTTGCTCGGTCAATGGCCAGGGTCAACGGCGGCGTGGTGTATTCCGCAAATATGCCCGACTGTGAGGGCGGGTACAAGCCGGCGTGAGTAGGTTAAACGTTGAGTTTTATAAGGGCACCACGGGCTGACCAGCCCCTCCCCACCCAGCCCCTCCCCACCCCCACCCAGCCCCACCCCTCCCACCCCCCACCCAGCCCCACCCCCCACCCAGCCCCACCCCACCCTCCCCACCCCACCCCACCCCACCCTCCCCACCCAGCCCCTCCCCTACCCACCCAGCCCCTGCCTCCCCACCCAGCCCCTCCCTGCACGACGGACGGACACAATAATCCCGTGGGTTGGTGTAACCAGGAGGTTCCTACCAGTACAAACGAGGATGTTACCAGCCCGGAAGGTAGGCAACTGCTTCATATAATGGACATCCGTGTAAATCGGAGAGGTTTAACATCGGCAGTCCAAAAAGCATCAGCGGAGTCCAAAATATAACCAAAAACGATAAGAGAGATAATAGAATAATAATAATTCACAGCTGTTTCTCAATCCACTGGTACAAATCAGGGCCTTCCGACACTCCCATTGTGGAGTTGCCTACCACGGGATTAAGAGACAACGGGCAAATATTTCTCAGTAACATTTTCACCGACTAAACAGGGCATCAATCGAAAGAGACATCTTTACTGGGATGGAGATTGGTTCCATGAAAAGACAATATTCCACATTCCCATGACAGGTGCAGTCTTTCCAATTAAATCGCACATCAAGGTTATCTATATATATAAAATCGTTCATGTCTGTCTGTCTGTGTGTGTGTGTGTGGACTTTGGCCCATACGCACTTTCATTGGACGGCGGTTGCCCCTGGCAACGGCTAGCCACGCCTTCGCCGCTTTCATTGGACCTGGCAACGGCTAGCCACGCCTTCGCCAAGGGCTGCAGTTTCATTGGACGGCGGTTGCCCCTGCCAACGGCTAGCCACGCCTTCGCCACTTTCATAAGCTCCGTATTTAATTAAATAATAGCCATTACACAGTGTTGTTGGAGCGCTAGGGGGGGGGGAAGGAACGCCACCCGTACCCTGCCTCTTCCATGCCGACAATTTTAGGCGAGGCCGCAGGCTTTGCACGCTACTAGGCCTCGACACCCACCACGCCACTCTGAGGTAAATTCATCAAAGTTTTTCCTACTCTTCACTACACCCCCACCACAATGTGTGCTATTAATATTACTTTTAAACCCAACGCGCCAACAATCGATTACTTTAATGTTCACTGTACAAATACTCATTAAGCTGGGTGAGCGTACTGCCAGTCTATCATGTACACTGTAGCCTGCTTATTAAGCTCGGTGAGCGTACTGCCACTCTATCATGTACACTCTAGCCTGCTTATGAAGCTGAGTGCGTGTACTGGCAGTCTATAATGTGGACTCTTGCCTGGTTATTATAATCGATTCTTTATATGTTCTTTGTACAAACAGTCATTAAGCTGCTTGAGCGACCCCAGTTCGATTCCAACTCACGCCCACCACCGCTGACGATTATTTGAAACGGACCTGGCCCTCCCCTAGGTCCACTCAGCCTCAAAAGCGTAACTGCTGTCGTGTGTGAACATCGTCACTGGGGAGACAAAGGCGGCGGGGCATCGTGGATCCAAGTCCCGGGCGAAGCCGGGTCATGTGTATGTGTGTTTGTGTTTATGTGTATGTCTGTGTGTCTCTATGTATGTGTGTATGTATGTGTATGTATGTGTTTGTGTGTATGTGTGTGTGTATGTATGTGGGTTTTTTTTTATGTCTTTATGTGTATGTCTGCGTGTCTCTATGTATGTGTGTATGTACGTGTGTGCATGTGTTTGTGTGTATGTATGTGTGTGTCTATGTATGTGTGTGTCTATGTATGTGTGTGTATGTGTGTGTATGTATGTGTGTTATGTGTCTGTCTGTGTCTGCGTGTATGTGTGTGTGTATTGTGTATGTGTTTGTGTGCATGTATGTGTGTGTTTGTGTGTATGTGTATGTCTGTGTGTATGTGTTTGTGTGTATGTGTGTGTATGTATGTGTGTGTATGTGTTTGTATGTGTTTGTGTGTTTACGCTCGCATTACACAAATGTGTTGCTGGTCTAAGGCGTTCCTCGCACAGCATTGCCGCTTTATTATTTCAGTCGTTTACTGCCTTACGCACTACTGTTGCGTATTAACATCGCCACTGGGGAGACAAAGGCGGCCGGCCGTGGTAGATACAAGTCCCGGGCGAAGCCGGGTAGTACAGCTAGTCGACTTTTATCAACACATCCGATTATTGATCAATAATTACCCATACTTCAGTTTATCTGAAACGACGGCCCAACAATGATTATCAGCGCATCCTATTAAACGTCAAATATTATCCGTTAATAATTATACCCACCCAAATATCTGGAATATACACATTAACACGTGTTCTCAAATAATACACGTCCGATTACCCACACATCAGATTATATGCCAATGATTATTCACATCTGATAATTATCTGACCGCAACACATTACACGACAATTATCTGCCAAAAATTATCCACATTTTTATCGACCAATCATCCACACATCAAATTATATCGACACATTCGAATATCCGCCAAATAGCATCAACATCCAATTACCCACAGATCAATTATCCGCCAATAATTATCCACATCTAATTGTCCACGGTTACAAATATCCGTATACGAACGAGTAATTTTTCCCACACATCCAATTCCCTGCCGGTGATGATCCACACCTTGAGCACGTCCGATAATCCGCTATATCGCGGATTATCGGAGTTGCTCCGATAGCCCCCCCGCCCCCCTTCCCCCGCCCCTCGTCCCCCCCGCCCCTCGTCCCCCTCCCCCCTCGTCCCCCTCCCCCCCCTCCCCTCGTTCCCCCCGCCCCTCGACCCCCCCCGCCCCTCTCCCCCCCGCCCCTCTCCCACCTCCCCCCCGCCCCTCTCCCCCCTCCCCCCCGCCCCTCTCCCCCCTCCCCCCCGCCCCTCTCCCCCCTCCCCCCGCCCCCTCTCCCCCCGCCCCTCTCCCCCCGCCCCTCTCCCCCCTCCCCCCCGCCCCTCTCCCCCCCGCCCCTCTCCCCCCCGCCCCTCTCCCCCCGCCCCTCTCCCCCCCGCCCCTCTCCCCTCGTCCCCCCCACCCCTCGACCCCCCCCGCCCCTCTCCCGCCCCTCTCCCCCCGCCCTCTCCCCCCTCCCCCCCGCCCCTCCCCCTCCCCCCGCCCCTCTCCCCCCTCCCCCCCGCCCTCTCCCCCCTCCCCCCCGCCCCTCTCCCCCTCCCCCCCGCCCCTCTCCCCCCTCCCCCCCCCCCCCTCTCCCCCCCCCCCCCGCCCCTCTCCCCCCTCCCCCCCGCCCCTCTCCCCCCTCCCCCCCGCCCCTCTCCCCCTCCCCCCGCCCCTCTCCCCCCTCCCCCCCGCCCCCTCCCCCCTCCCCCCCCGCCCCTCTCCCCCCTCCCCCCCGCCCCCTCTCCCCCCTCCCCCCCGCCCCTCTCCCCCCTCCCCCCCCCCCCTCTCCCCCCTCCCCCCCCCGCCCCTCTCCCCCCCTCCCCCCCCCCCCTCCCCCCCCCCCCCCCCCCCCCCCCCCTCCCCCCCCCCCTCCCCCCCCCCCCCCTCCCCCCCCCCCTCCCCCCCCCCCTCCCCCCCCCCCCCTCCCCCCCCCCCCCTCCCCCCCCTCCCCCCCCCCCCTCTCCCCCCTCCCCTCCCCCCCGCCCCTCTCCCCCCTCCCCCCCCCCCCCTCTCCCCCCTCCCTCCCCCCCTCTCCCCCCTCCCCTCCCCCCCCCCTCCCCCCTCCCCCCCCCCTCTCCCCCCCCCCCCCCTCCCCCTCTCCCCCCCCCCCCCCCTCCCCCCCTCCCCCCCCCCCCCTCTCCCCCCTCCCCCCCCCCCCCCCTCCCCCCCCCCCCTCTCCCCCTCCCCCCCCCTCCTCTCCCCCCTCCCCCTCCCCTCTCCCCACTCCCCCCGCCCCCTCTCCCTCCCCCCCCCCCCCTCCCCCCCCCCCTCCTCCCCCGCCCCTCTCCCCCCGCCCCCTCCCCCCGCCCCCCTCTCCCCCCCGACCCGCTCCCCCGCCCCTCTCCCCCTCGCCGCCTCTCCCCCCCCCCTCCTCCCCCTCCCCCTCCCCCCTCGCCCCTCTCGCCCCCTCTCCCCCCGCCCCTCGCCCCTCTCCCCCCGCCCCTTCTCCCCCCCTCCCCCCCCCCCCCTCCTCCCCCCCGCCCCTCTCCCCCCCCCCCCCCCCCCCCTCTCCCCCCTCCCCCCGCCCCTCTCCCCCCTCCCCCCGCCCCTCTCCCCACTCCCCCTCCCCTCTCCCCCCTCCCCCCCGCCCCTCTCCCCCCCTCCCCCCCGCCCCTCTCCCCCCCCCCCCCGCCCCTCTCCCCCGCCCCTCCCCCCTCCCCCGCCCCCCTCCCCCCGCCCCTCTCCCCCCCTCCCCCGCCCCTCTCCCCCCCTCCCCCCGCCCCTCTCCCCCTCCCCCGCCCCTCTCCCCCCTCCCCCCGCCCCTCTCTCCCCCCTCCCCCCCGCCCCTCTCCCCCCTCCCCCCTCCCCCCGCCCCTCTCCCCCCGCCCCTCTCCCCCCTCTCCCCCCGCCCCCCGCCCCTCTCCCCCTCCCCCCCGCCCCTCTCCCCCCCGCCCCCCTCCCCCCCGCCCCTCTCCCCCCCGCCCCTCTCCCCCCCGCCCCCCTCCCCCCTCCCCTCTCACATCCGACTCCACTTCGATGTCGTCATTGTCGCTCATCGTAGGCGCGGCGCGTGTGAGCCCGTGGCTGCTGGAGCTGCTCGAACGCGAGCGGCAGCAGTCGTAGCGGTAGTACTTGTTGTTTACTCTAAACGTTGTTGTTGTTTACTCTAAACGATGCTGTTGTTGTTGTTTATCGCCGCGATCCGGGACTGAACCTCGACCCTCCCGGCTTCGCGTCTCGTCGACGCGGACCTCGGCGAGCTCCCGGAAGCGCGCGGTGATTGGCCGAGGGGGTCCGGCCACGTGACGTCGCCGACACGTGTGTTCCGCGTGGGGCCCCAGTGTTGTCAACGAGCGGTGCGCGATATATCGCGATAATTAACACGATTTATCGCGATAATTAACACGATATATCGCGATAATTAACACGATATATCGCGATAATTAACACGATATATCGTGATAATTAACACGCTATATCGCGATAATTAAACACGATATATCGCGATAATTAAACACGATATATCGCGATAATTAACACGATATGTCGTGATAATTAACACGGTATATCGCGATAATTAACACGATATATCGCGATAATTAACACGATATATCGCGATGATTAACACGATATATTGTGATAATTAACACGATATATCGCGATATCACCACGATATTAATTTGAGTTTACAGTACTGCACTGTTTTTATAGTTCCAGTAGCGATATTGCTTTGTAGAACATTGCGGTGAATGTGGAGTAGCATCGCCCTCTAGCGGCTGCAGGCAATGCCTTCCAAATGCATACTAATATTCAAAACACATTCCGGCGGAGGGAGCTGGTAGGAACGTTGGGTTGCTCGGTCAATGGCCTGCAGGGTCAACGGCGGCGTGGTGTATTCCGCAAATATGCCCGACTGTGAGGGCGGGCACAAGCCGGCGTGAGTAGGTTAAACGTTGAGTTTTATAAGGGCACCACGGGGTGACCAGCCCCTCCCCACCCAGCCCCACCTCTCCCACCCCCCACCGAGCTCCACCCTCCCCACCCAGCCCCTCCCCACCCTCCCCTCCCCACCCAGCTCCACCCTCCCCACCCAGCCCCTTCCCACCCTCCCCTCCCCACCCAGCCCCTCCCCACCCTCCCCTCCCCACCCAGCCCCTCCGTCCCCACCCAGCTCTTCTCTGCACGACGGACACAATAATCCCCTGTGGGCTGGTGTAACCAGGAGGTTCCTACCAGTAAAAACATCGTACTTTGTTTACACTGGCGATTTTGTTATTGTTATATCACAGTTGCTGAGCACAGGTCCAAAGGCCCAAAACGTCAAAGTGGCCAGTAAGAAACAGTACGATCGAAGTTGTTGTAATCGATACGAGTTGTCAACACTTTAAATGAAACGATGCGCGGTGCTTTGGGGCCGTCCATAAATGACGTCACGCACCTAAGGGTGGGGGGGGAGTCAGACATTTGTGACGATGTGTGACGAGGGGGGGGGGGGGGTGAGGAATGTGACGTCACATCAAAATGCGCAGCTTTAAATAAATATAGAAAACACGTTTTACTTAATTAAATAGACTTTTTAATAAATGTATTCTCCTACAACATCAGAGTGCAGCGCCACACTAAAGACGCACCACAATGACAATAGTTTAAAGCGATTTGAAGCATGTTTTATTTGGGGGGGGGGGGCAGGGCTTTGTGACGTCATATTTGAGGGGGGGTCTGACTTTTTGTGACGCCGTGTAACGAGGGGGGGGGGGGCAAAAATCGTCAAAATCGCGTGACGTCATTTATGGACGGCCCCTTTGTTGTCAGCCAGTTGGCGTGGTGTGTGACATTGTGGGTCTGCTTGCACGTGCAGATGTAGAGGGATCGACCAATTCATTTATTTTAATGTACTCTCATGCTCCTCATACATGCGTCATGTCGTCTCTGTAAGGGCAGCCGCTGCTGTGCCCATGTTTCTGATCCATCATAGCTGGCACTAACTTTCCTCTTCAAGGCATCATGGCATGCTCCATTTCTCGCCCGCTATGCATATGCGAGCGGTGTTCACCGCATGTATGTACAGGTATGTTGAACTTCTTTCGCACCGCACGTGGCCAACCGCGCATGCGCAATTTAGCCAAATTAAGTGCAAAATCAAATTTATTGTCACTGTTTTTGTGTGTGCGTGAAGTCATTGGTGACCGTGCTGAGACCACCAACTCACTCCGCTTGCGGGGCTGGCTTTACCACAGGTCAAAGGGATGTCCCAACTATAGTCAACATTACAGGCCTGAGCCAGCTGTGGAAATTCCACATTCCTATGGCGGGGGCAACTTGATTCATAGGACAATTGCTTTCATCAAAAGTTGCAGCGCTCTTGCCCCTCTTGAGCCAACTGGTAACATTGCATTTTGTACTGTTGTTTCTAAATGTCAGTCAAGAAGATTCAACCCCTCGTTGCTATGAGATTGGAATAAGTGGCCTGGAATGCATTTCCTCGTGCCTGAAATTGCACTCCCGTGAGACACAAAAGCCTGTCTTGGGGCAGGTTGTGCTTTCAAATTAAATGCTGCAAGCACCTAAAAATAGCTAAGCCATAAAGGTTTGAGTAGCAAAAACAATAAAGAGATTAAGTTGCCTTCTCTGTGCACAGAACGAGAAATTGAGCCATTGACCTTCGCTGAATTTTATCTGGACCATGTCACGCTACAATGGCTGATCAAAGTCAAAGTTCTCCCGTGTAGCCTTAACAGACTGTAGGGGCAAGTGCTGTTAGCGAGCACCTATGAAGGACGGAACGGCACACGAGGGGGTGGGTGGCCAGCACCACGCCCGACCGCCTTTGTCTCCCCAGTGGCGATGTTTACACACTGCACCATGGTACTCATTTGAGGCTGAGTCGACCTAGGGGAGGGCCCGGGACTGGTTCAGATAATCGAACTCGGGTGGCCGGGTTCGTAGTGCAGCGTGGCGCTGACCGCTCACTACCACGTGCACATTCCAATGGCTGGTGCCAGTGCATCCACGAACATTTCGAGCGAACTTTAGATTTAAAGCTTTCGTGACTGCAGGGATTCATATTCTTGGTTCTTTCGGTAAAGTCACGTAGAAGGGAAATAATAAAATTATAAAACAATAAAATTCTCACGACGTTTTGACTGCAACACAAGCAATTACCATCTCATCATCATGATGATTGCTTGTGTTGCAGTCGAAACGTCGTGATAATTTTATTGTTTTATAATTGTATTATTTCCCTTCTACGTGACTTTACCGAAAGAACCAAGCAGATATTTCGAGTGAACGTTTAAAAAAAACAATTGGCCCGAAAGGGAACTTGGCCGGAGTGATAACAGTACTTCACGTGCGTTTTAACATAAAGTTTCAAAATCGTAATGACTTTCCCACGTCCCTGCTGGCGAGACAGCCCCCGCTCGATCAGGGTACCTTGGCCTGCTCTTCCACGCCGGCCAGATGCGATGGAAGCCGTGGGAAGTCACCGTACCCACCACACACTTGACCCCACCACACACGCCAGTGTAACGATGCCCTTTTACACAGCTGGGCCCATAGCGACAGCGGAGCGTTGGTGTACGGTGTTTTTTCTGCAATATTTTTGCTGTCTTTTCTTGAATTTTCTGTTTGCACTTAGTCACATATTCACTTTAAGATGTTTTTTGTTCATGTTTTTGTTTTTTGTTTGTTGCGGTTGCACCCGATTCAAGAGCTGAATGGCTCACAGGGCTATACCTAATAAATGAACTTGAAAAAACTTGAACTTGGTGTGGTGTGGTTCAAGAAGCTCGTTCCAACTGCGAGATGGAGTAGAACCGGCGAACATTTGCATGCCAGGTGGATTATTAACAACGCCGAGAGACGGCGAGGCCTTCATCCAGCAGTGGAGTTGACCACGGCCGACGACGAATAATCGAATCAAGTGCTGAACAAATTCCTTTCCTCCTGATGACGATCGCTTGTGTTGTGATCGAAACGTCGTAGTTTTTTTTGTTACTTTCTTTGAACCGTATCCGTGACTTTACCGCAAGACCCAAACAATATTTAAATGACATCATTGTTTTTAAAAAAATATCTGCCAGCTATTAATCCAGCCGAGAGGGGGGGAGGGGCTGCGGCGGGTGACTACATTTCCCGCGCGGAGGAATACCGCGACTCACAACGGATGGCGGTGAATCACCCCCCCCCCTTCTAACCTCCTCCCCCCCACCCCCTCCCCACCCCTCTCTCTAATTTCCCAGTTCGGATAGCGAGCCGCGCCGCCCGCGATTCGCTGCCGCCCAACCACGTGGTCGCGGCCCCCGCAACCAACCGCGCGCGGCCGTGGCGTCGCGAGGCGCGCTTATCCGCGCTGCGAAATGCAAACGCGCGCCGCGGCCTGTCCACATCCGCGTCGCGGCAGAGTGAGGAGGAGGAGGAGGGGGGGATTTTTTTTTCGTTGCGTGGGGGTTGTGACGGCCTCCGTGTTTACTTTGGTTTTATTAATCTCTTAATTATTAGGAGTACATTTTTTTTGTTTTTCTACTTCTGCCGGAGGTTAATGTTCGTGAGGTAGTGGCGTCGTTAGCTTGGATTGTTTTCCCACCACCACCACCGCCGCCGCCGCCGCCTTACACGCGCGCACATGGATAAGTTTGCGATTCGGATGGTTGGGCCTGGCGGTGAGTACGGGTTGCTGTTGTTTACGTGCCGTTAAACGTCGATTGTTTAAGTTGTTTATCTTTTTAATTGCCGTGTTTTGTCAAATAGCCGCCGCGCAGATCGTCGTGGGGACTTACTGCAGCGGTCGATGACATTGAGTAGCCCAAACGTTTGATGCAAAGTCGGTCGCGGTCTGATCGCTGATGGTGATACTGGCAACCGCCACTGTAATGTGGAATTTCAACCATTGTTGTACTGTAACTTATACACGTAGTGTCAGACGTGTTGTAAGTTACATTATACACCGCGCAGTGTATTTGGCCGAGTGACCTAATCAACAAATATACAGGAAAGCTTACTGGTGAGACCTGAACTGGCCAGAGAAATGTTGAATGTCCACAAGTTTAGTGTGAGACCTAAGGATGTCTTTTCGTTGTGTCACGCTATAAAGTAGATGATCACACAGTGGAAAGTTAATAGTGGATCATCTCCTGGTGAGCCAGGGATCCTCCATAGGAGAACGTACAATTTCAACGAGCACATAGCATATTTGGGCTTTAGAGTTTCAGAAAGTGCAGTCGTTTACGATGCCGATAATTGTTTTTTTACCCTTTTATCTGGCAACAAAACTGACACCTTTTTTCACAAGGAGTCATGTTGCATAGACTACAATACCTGCAGTCATGCAAACAAAAACATAACTCTGATAATGTATGCACTGTCCTTGAAGTTGAGTGGTCCACACCCGAGACAGCTTTCCTTAGAGCCTAGTCTCACATGGTGTTGGACCAGATGACGCCAAAAGGCGCACAACTCAAAGACAATGCACCATCAAAGTATGAGAGCTCGGGGTAAGCATTTACACCATTGGAACCTCCTTTGCCAGTAGAAAAATATGATACTTGGTTTAAGATAATAAGATAATTGGTAAGGAAAGCTGTCTCGGGTGTGGACCAATCGACTTCAAGGACAGTGCATACATTATCAGAGTTATGTTTTTTGTTTGCATTATGACTGCAGGTATTGTGGTCTATGCAACATGACTCCTTGTGAAAAAAGGTGTCAGTTTTGTTGCCAGATAAAAGGGTAAAAAAACAATTATCATATTTTTTTACTGGCAAATGAGGTTCCAATGGTGTAAATATTTACGAAGCTACTACGATGTTCCCACTTTGTGGAAATCCAGTTGTGGCCAGGGACACGGGGGGCCCTAGGGACGTGGAATTTCCACCACCGCTGTTTGGCTAACCACAAAGCTCGTTTGCGAGATGCAATTATCAGTTGCAGTGTGTGTTAGTGTGTTGGTACAGTAGGGGGCACAGGTGGTGCATCGGCCAGTCATCTCGGTCAGTCGACCCGTGGCACCTGGGTCTGCCCCGTGACCTCCTGCCAGCGGGCGTTCGACACTTCACGTGGCCTCAAGGTGCACTTGGCCTGGCACAAGCGTCGTGGTGACGTCACCGCCACTTAGTGGCGAATGGCGGTTGTTGTAGTGTGTGTTAGTGTCTGTTAGTGTGCGTTAGTGTGTGTTAGCGGTAGTGTAGTGGTTAGCGCGCTGCGCTATGAACCCGGCGACACGGGTTCGATTCCCGCTCACGGCCAACACCAGTGACGATTATCTGAACCAGTCCCGGGCCTCCCCTAGGTCGACTCGGCCTCAAATGAGTACCTGGTGCGGTGTGTAAACATTGCCACTAGGGAGCCCAAAGGCGGTCGGGCGTGGTGTTGGCCACCCACCCCCTCGTGTACCGTTCCGGCCTTCATAGGTGCTCGCTAACAGCACTTGCCCCTACAGTCTGTTTAGGCTATTTGGGGGATCTTTATCTTTGTTAGTTATACAACTTTTAGTTGTCAATATTTGCCTGTCCCTATTGGCAGGATTGGCTCTGGTCATCAAAATCTGGAATTACCCAACGATGTTGTCATGGCCACCGATAGTGTCAATCAGGGAGACGTGTGCCGACTTTCACTTGGTTAAGTTATTTCCTTCATGCAGGCTGTTATGAATAGGATATGTGTGCACTAACGTTTCACACGAAACTCGATAGTAATATGGATTGTGTAATGTATTGAACGCGTTATGACCAAAACTGCCCTTAATTATCCATGCATAACAGGCGTTGTAGGCTCTGTGTGGTTGACAGCAGAAGGGCAGCCCATCCAAAGCAATGGCTGTCATGCACTTATACCTGCTGCTCCACCTTGACCAGCATGGTGATGTATGGCAAAATAACCCCGCCACACGGCTTGGACAGGCAACTCATTCAGCAGTGGCTTTACAAATGGCTGCAGATGTACAATTGTGGTACATTGAGCCTTGGCCAAACAATGCTTGGCACAAAGACATTCACAGAGACGTTTGGTTCACGCACGACCTCGATGGACTTTTGAATTGTCTTAACACACCAAGGCGGTGTTGCTTCTGTTTGTTGTGCTCGACACACACCGTGGGTGACTCATTTGCGAAGTGTCACTGGTGCTGCTTAAGTTACATTGCAGTACATGACAGCATCGCCACTAATTACGTTACAGGCTTACAGCACAAGTACTGTGCCGTGTGTGTGTGGCTCGTTCCATTGCACCCGGGAACCTGATCGCCGGCTCTCAATGCACACGGCGCCGTGGGATCGCTAAATATAGACCTTATTGTCATCCGAAGCTCGACTCAACACGGTATGCATGTAATATTTCCTTCAGGGTGCACATACGAGATTGGGCTATTTTGGACACATTGCTTGTAATAATCCTGTATTGATGTTACTGCCCCTTGTCGGTTCGCTGTTGGGATGAAGGCCCTCCCATGCCGTGGTTAGTCGGTGTGGATTGGTGAAGGGAGAGAGCGGCCGGTCGTGGTTTAGTTATCGCCGCTAAGGTTAGCTGTAACCGCGAGTCGAACTCAGGTTATCTTGAGTTCATAGTACAGTATAGTGTTATAATTCACTGCGCATCACGCCGAATACAGTGCATGATACAGTGTTGTTATGAAGACCTGTTTGTCATTAAGGAAGATAGGCTGTGGACTGAATGTTGCAGTTAAAACTATTTGTATATATTTAAATGTGACCCATGATGGTGCATTGTTGCAATAATGTGTGTGCGAAATATCATAAGGCTTAAATGCACTGTACAATCTATACTTGTGTTAAATTGTCTCGATAATGAAGCATTTGAGATACATTCATTGCACAGGCATGCAGACCTGCAAGTTTAAAATGGAAATGCTATACGCTTAACCTCTATCGTTACAAGTACAATACTGCGCAATATTGTGTTTAATAGTTTAAAAGTATGTGTGTGTATAAAATAATACCCAGCAAGGCGCCACCTTGTCCCAAGACTGTTTCAGGAGGGCCAACTTTGGGATATTTGCCACATACCTGGGTTCAATCATTTTGAATTAATGGCAATGTACCGTAATTGCAATCTCCGCTAACAATACCGTTGTGATGGTAATTATAATTAACCCCAGGTCTGATTTGACCAATTCCATCCATATTCGATTTAACACGTAGGCTTTCGCGACCAATGTTATTCATAATATAGGTTTTTGGGTCAGATCGCGTTATTTATAAATATGTCGTAACCCTCCACCACCCGACACGGCCAAACAGTAAAAAATGTGTCACGTTTTTCAAAGGACAAAATAATTCACTTCTTTAGCCCAAATTTTTAATTTTAAAATGCTGTTAATTCTCTCTTCAGCACACTGGTGGGCTAAATAATTGAATTAGTTTGTCCTTTAAAAAACGTGACACATTTTTTACTGTTTGGCCGTGTCGGGTGGTGGAGGATTACGACACATTTATAAATCCATCCATATTGACTGCACGTGTAAGGGAATCGCCGGAGCAAACTCCATACACACGAGGAGTTATTCACTCACGGGTCTTAACATTTTCAAGCCCACGTCACATGCCCTAGAGTACAATCTTGATGATTGCCGATGTGCCTCTATCCAGACTCCATGGTGATGTAGTAAATCTGTACACGATTATGCTTGCCGATGACCAAGTCACCCAGAATGTGCTAGCTCTAATCGAGATCTCAGAAACTATGCAGGAGTGAGCTTGGAAGGTGCATAGGCACCCTTGTGCATAATACAGTGATTGTTGTCGGCAGAGGATACTGCAGAAACATCAATCAAGGTACAGGTAGTCCTCTACTTACGATGGAGATGCGTTATGACAACCCCATCGTAAGTCAAAAATATCGTAAGTCGAAGATGACCTAGCCTACCCAGGAGTCTTAAAGAATGGTGATAATTTATCAAAACAGCAATTTACAGTACCGTACTGTATAAACTATCTACTGTACGTATTTATTAATTACAATACTGTATTGCACAGTGAAATGTAAAGTAAAAAAAACAAGGTAAATTCTTAGCCTACCTATATGAACTGCAATTTAATATACATTTTTTTCAGGAAACAATTCTATCTGCTCTAAAAAAAGTTTTAACATGCATTGAACGTATCGTATCGTGGTAACCCTAACATGAAATCGCTAAAGCTACGTATCATACATTCATTGAACGTATCGTAACGTATCATATTGTACTGTACTCACCAAGATTCGTACGTTGCTGCGTTTGCCTGCCGCGCGAAATTTAAAAACTTTTACAATTTTGTCGTATCGCCATCGTAAGATCGAAAGATCGTAAGTCGGACCATCGTAACTCGGGGTATTATACTTTGATCCAACAATTATTCTCTTTGCCTTCACCAAACCGCACTGATGAGCGTGGTTGAAGTATGGTCAAAAAACCCTCACCAACTGCACCTTGTGGGGAGGCCCGCATCCACCTGCGGATTGACAAAAGGGCTCTACATTTACAACACATGATCGATCTGAGTCCTGTATTTGAATTCGGCAGGTAAATACAGATGCACGCTAACACGTGTTCTGCATTGGTGGCTTTAAGATACAAAGGTTACTTGTAAACTGTTGAATTTGCCAAGGTTAAAGAGCACGAGAGATAAGCCGGCTACAATATAACACATTTGATTCAATGCAAGTTAAT